GCACACACACACACACACACACACACACACACACACACACACACACACACACACACACACACACATGGGCAATAAATTGGGAGGTCCTACCTATAAAAAACCTTAGTGTTGAAAGGGGACGGTAACCCTGTACAGTTACACAATACAACGACAGGGTCACTCGGTACACACAATCATCAGCTATACTATATACATCTGTACACTCAAACAACCACAGCTTGAGATAATGGGATAGTCATAATTTCCTGATTCTGAGTCAGCAGACAGGGACACACTTAATAGCATTCGTCCACCTGCAAAAGCAGAACATTATGATAACCATTTAACTGTTATCAATCGAGTAGATCAGACACCCAGTCGGAAGTCACTCAGTTCAACAGTCAGCTGCCATACAGGGTATATTATTATTATGTACACAAACATTCACAGCTTGAGATAACGGGTAGTCACAGTTTCTGGGCCCTGTTTAGTTTTAGTAAGATTATTACTGCACATGGAACACAATAAGGTACTCTAAGTGCGGAAGATTAGAGGTGTTACAAGAGAGTAACTAACACAAAAAAAGAAAAAGGAGTCAGGACGATAGAATTAAGTTTGATAGGAGCGAAGGTGCAAACCTCCACACCAGATGATCTCGAGCACCCGCCAAACACCCACTCTAGACTCCGAGTCTACAAAGTAATTAACATTCAACACCTTTACAAACATTCGTTCACATGCAAACACAGGAAATTATGATTGTGATTTAGTTCTTATCAATCGAGCAGATGAATTAATACCCATCGTATGGTGGGGGGTTTACGGATGCTCTGGTGTGGTGGTTTGCTCTTTCTTTCCTATCAAACATCTATCATCCTTATCTCTCCTCATCCTTATCTCTCCTCATCCTTATCTCTCCTCATCCTTATCTCTCCTCGTTTGTTTTGTTTTTTGGTGCTCGTTACTCCTTCATAACACCTTTCATCATCGGCTTTTATAGGACTTCTTAGTGTTACAAGCGCCGTGAAACGCTTACAAAAGCAAAAAAAAAAAAAAAAAGAATCAAACATTTTTTTTTCTATGTCCACAGTTTATTCATTGGGTACACACAGTCATATTATGCTATACTTTTTATATATGTACCCAAACACTCCCAGCTTGAAATAAGGACATAGTCACAGTTTCTGGGCCTGTGTCAACAGACAAGCACACACCTGACAGAGATGAGTGGTCACAAGTGTTTTCTTTTGTCTCCAGCAGACATCTCTTGATGGTCGGGAAACTAGACCGCCACATAGAGCGTCAGAGAGTTAACTATGATTTCTGGCTAGATCTAATCTAGTAGTTATCCGCTTCGCCATCGCACTTTGCTTTCGTGTTGTCTTTGTTCTTGCTTGTTCTTTAGGTCGAGGTCATTTTGCTTTAAAAATTTGCTGCTGTTTATAATATTGTTGCTGTTGTTGTTGTTGCTGTTGTTGTTGTTGCTGTTGCTGTTGTTGTTGCTTCTGATTTTGATGTGGATGGATTTTTTTCTTCAATGAAATTGTAGTAATGTATTGTCCTTATTCAGCCGTTGTTTTATTGTTGTTCCTGCTGTTTTGTTGTTTTTGTTGTTGTTGGTGTTGTTTTGTGGTTGTTTTTGTTGTCGTCGTTGTCGTCGTCATCATTGTTGTTGCTGTTCTTGTTCTTGTTCTTGTTGTTGTTTGTTGTTGTTGCTATTATTTTGGATGATGGTAATGTAGATGTCAATGTTGCTGTCACTGCTGGTGCAGCTGTTGTTTTCACCGTTCTCCTCATCGGTTACTGTCGTCTTCTCGTACGTTCCTTCATGTTCAGGACATGAGTGAGGACACAGGGCAACTGTACCACTCCTTAGGGGAGGTGGGGAGGGGGAGGGGTTAGTCGCCGTCATATCTTGGACAAAACATTCCCATCGCTCCTCAGATCCATCACTGTCCATTTTTGACTGGCGCTCTGGTGTGGCTTGCTTCTTCTTTCTTATCAAACATTTACCGCCCTCAGCTCCTCTTTTTTGTTACCAAGCACCCATTGTACTTATTAATTCCTGTCCTTCGAAAAGAATATTTAAAATATATGTCAGTCTCTGGTAATGGGGATGGTTGGATATTGCCACTGGTAGGTCCTACTTCTTTATTTTCCTTCTGTTGTTTCTTTCTTTCTGTAGAACCTTTTCCCAGAATTAAATGACCATTACTGATGTGCTTTTCTTTACTCAAACAAACAAACAAACAAGCAAACAAACAAGCTAACACCCAAACAATCTCTAGTAATGCCTCCTTTTGTCGGCACGTAAATGACCTAACTGTGTTGTAAGTACCGTAAAAGTAACACTAAAACGAAAAAGTAACTAATTTTTGCCCCTTTCCTCTTCTTTCCCCTCACAGACAGCGGCGGTGGTGGAGCGGGCACAATGACGTCATCGGGACGTCACACCAGCCACGGCCACCAGGGTGACCCGTTGACCTCTGACCCCGCCCGTGTGACCTTACACCTGATCGCCGACACGCACGAGGTCTACCCTCTCATTGACCTCTATCAGCCTGTACTGGACTGGGTTGACCCCAACTTGCACCTCTTCCGGGTCACGGAGCATGCGCACACAGCTGCTACAGACGTTACGTCCGGGAGTCGGTGCCGGGAACACAGCGTGACGAGGGATGGGTCAAGTGGTCAGCCCAATGACCAGTGTCCTGACCTGCCTGCGATAGCTGTGATGGTCTTCCTTCGGACGCCCGACACGGCGAGCTCAGAACTGGGTCAGGACGGACTCCGAGAGCGGGAGAGACTGGAAAGCGCGCGAAATCTGTTCCGCTACAGGCCCTGGAAGTTTCACCACAGCGAGAAACTAGGTCAAGGCAAAATCAACGCGGTCCCTGGTGCCTCGCGCGAGTTTTTCTACACGTCACGTGACCTCCCGCTGTGGGCCTTGAGGCACGTGCATTACGGTCGTGAGCACGTGCGGTATGTCTTATACACCACGGAGGACTCTTGGCCGGACCAAGTGCACTTCTACAGACTCATCCTGGGGATCGAACCCGATCTCCTCAGAGACGACTTCTGCTTGTTCACCCTCCACGCACAGCCCGAGTACGACGTTCAGTTCGCGCTGAAGAGAGTCGAACCCGGGACGCAGGTGCTGAGACTGGACAGCGTGCACATCCAGGTGAAGGTCAAAGACATCGGTCAGCTGGTCCCGCTGTTCCCCAACGTGTGCCGTCCTGTGAGTGACGTCACGTGGCAAACAACAGACCACGAGGGCAACACAGTCGTCCTGGATGTGGTCCGGACCCCGCTCGGGCCTGGACTCGGCTCGCAAAAGACTAAGAGCTCTGTCTCGCGCAGGAACTCTGCGCCTCCCACAAACGCTGTCAGAAAACGTGAGGGACTTCAGAGCCAAACCAGCGACCAATCAGCATATCAGAACCAAACCAGCGACCAATCAGCATATCAGAACCTAACGAGCGACCAATCAGCATTATATCAAAACATCGCAGCAGCACCCACCTCTAAAAATGGCATCTACCGAAACTTTCCCGTGTCAGAAGACCGGAACTATCGTATCCGCCCCGTACTTTCAGACGGCGGCGATATTCGTGATATCAATCGACTCTCGACCGCTGAAAGTGTCGTGTTCGATACTCACTCGGGTGACGTCAGCGCTGACGACTTCGACCTACCTCATGTGACGTCATCCCGAATGAATGTGACCCCGGAAGAGGACGAGGAGAGTTTGACCTTGACCAACACGTCAGAGGAGAGCGGTATTCAGGTGCACCAGGGGTCGGATGACTTGTCCTTCTGTGAGGACGAGCCTCTCAAACCGTGTCTCCACAAAGTCCGAGCCTCCAGAATTCGAGCTGTGAAGTTCCGTGTACGCTTCAAGGAAGAGGTGGAAGCGTTTGAGGACGATGTGTTTAGTAGACTCTCCTCCGGCATCGATTCTGAGGATCAGAGCGACGACGAGATGGCGACGAGTTTCCGATACATACCGCAGTCCACGACACCATCGTCGCTGGGGGATTCGAACCCGCCTCCTCCGTCTTCAACAGCTGTTGGTCCTACAGACTGGACCACATGTCCACCAAACGGTCAAGAAAATGGTGTCGGGAGCAGTGACCACTTGGGTCAAGGGGCAGTAATGGATAGACTCACACACCAACCAAAAAATCCTCTGGAGGGATCTGGTTCCAGACTCATGACCGTGTCTGGTACAATAGGAGGTCAAAGTTCAACAACAGGCCAGCCTCCCTCCTCGCCCCGCCCTCCGCCCACACAGAAAGAAAACCAAGACCCGCCTCCACCTCCATACGTGCCCCCACCTCATCGCCGCGCGCCCAATAGCTCCTCCCCCTTGTCATCGGACAATGTCAACTGTGCTACGCCACGCCCCCTTCACCCTCCTCCCTACTCACACAGACACTCCTCCACCCCCAGTCCCGGTATACCCATTGGGAAAGCTCCGCCCAGCTACGATTCTATTCGCTCATCTCGGAGTTTCTCCTCCCCCTCGCCCCTCCCCTCGCCGGCAGACAGCGGCAGACTGTCCCACCCGCAGTATTCTTCCACAAACGGCAACTCCCCTCGCCCGCCTTCCTCCTGCAGCATTACCTCCCCTGGCCCCGCCGCCCTTCCCGCCCGCCCGGAGTCGCGACAGTCTCAGTACGTCACAGGACCGTGTCTGAAAACCCTGGACCAGAACCTCAACCCCTCCCCTTCCCCCTCCCCCTCCCCCCGACAGCAAACTGTGTCCGGTGTGAAGTCGGTAGACCGCCCGTCCAGGAAAGACGCCAACTCTTCTTGCGGGCAAGAGGAGACTCCCCTTAAGTTCACCTTAAAGTTTGACACTTGTCCTACCTCAGGGCTAAAGTCCCGCGAGGAACAGATCGGATTCTATGTGTGACACCAGCTCATTTTTCCAGACAATTTCACTTCATTATAGTTATTATTGTGAATCTTGCCAAAGTCAGAGAAATCCGCCAGTACATTTTTCGTAATAGATCTAATTATAATTTGCAAAAGGTCTGGGTTTTCTTTTCAAAAAAAGGTTTTCTCGAATGAAATATTGAAAATAATAGAAGACCTCATTGGAAATTATTTATGTTGCAAAACTGAAATTATTGAACTACTAACTTTAACATTATTATTATGTTATGGCTTTCTTCCCTAATGTATTCTCAAAAACTGTCAAACAAACTTTTAAGGTGCTTAGTTCACAGTGAGAGGCCCTCCTTAAAATGGGATCTATTAAGGAAAACTGTCAATGTCCAGCATGTTTTGAACTTCAAAATTTGGTTTTCTCTAAATCTGAAAGTGTAACTTTGATCAGTTTGCCATTGTGGTCTTCATGTGAAATGCTGATCAGGAACTTTCTTGGAATGTGGATTAAAATTGATAGGGGTAATGTTGAAGATGTTTAACTCCTACTGTAATGTTTGTTTTGAGTACTACTAAAACTGAATGTTGTAAAGTATTTCTTTTCGGCGCCAAAGTTTATCTATAATTGACCTAGTTCCTTTCTGAGCAAGCATCAGAACGTACATGGGGAAGGTTTGACCTAGAAATAATCTTCCAAGGGTTGTCCAGTTGGACATACTACTGACCGCCCTCTGGTAGTCTCTTTGCTGTCGCCTGCAATAGGTGAGAGTTTGATTCCAACTCGGAGCAGCTTGGCGTGTCCAAGATCAGCGCACTCCTTGTGTTGGCGTGGAGTACAACCAACACAGCTACTGGCGAGCCCTAATCTCCTGATTAATCTAACCTGTGTCAGTGCGGGCGTAAAGCATTTACAATAACAGATCATGATCGTAACCCTAGAATTTCAAAGTTCTAGTTCTATCCGTTCAGCACCGAGTTTTCAGGAAATTTGAGCTTTAAAAAATTTAGAGTTTCACAACATGTCAAGCTTTTTCGAATGCAATTGTTTGAATGTCTTGATAACGACTCCGAAACTATCTTTCGATTTTAATAGAGCAGATAGAACACAATTTGGCTTCTGACTTCATGCTCTCAGTGACTCAAAACAGCCAAAAATCTCAGATGGAACTTTGAAATTCTAAAGAAGCGTGTTGTTGACGAGCGAACATGAACAATGAGATCAATGTCTCTATGATGAATTTTTGTTACTCGTACATGGTAATGTTATAATATTATAGCTAGGTGCAATCTTGAGACGTCAAAACACGCTCTATACCTTTGTACTCTAACGGAGTAGTCTCATGGTACCTTAGGTAGGTTTTCATATTTATGTGTGTTGTTTGCGTGTGTATTTTATATTGTATGTGTGTTTGTATGTGTATTTATGTCTGTATTTGAGTCAGTATGTGTGGGAGGGGTGCGTATGTATGAGTGTATATATATATATATATATATTTATATGTGCGTGAGAGGAAGAGAGAGTGAGAGAGGGGGAGAAAGAGAAAAAGAGACGTAGAGAGAAATAGTGTGTGCATGTGAATGTGTGCATGCTCCTGCGTGTGTGTGTGTCTGTGTGTGCGTAAGTGTGTGCATGTGCTTGTGTATATGTGTATGCATATGTGTGCATGTGTGTGTACGTGCGCGTGTGTGAGTGTGCGTGTGAGTGAGTGTGTATGTGTGTATATGTGTGCGTGTGTATATGTGTGCGTGTGTGTGTGTGTGTGTGTGTGTGTGTGTGTGTGTGTGTGTGTGTGTGTTTGAACGCGTGTGTGAGTGTGCGCGTAGTACGGCCGTGCCTTTATTTAAAGTATCTAGCATCTTATATACCTCCATGTATCCGAAACCAACGACAAGGCTGAGTTGTAAACTCTGAAGACCAAGAGA